GACTGGATAAAGATGTGGTATTTAGATAAAACAGAATATTACTCAGTCATAACAAAGAAGGAAATGAGGCCATTTACAGCAACTTGGATGGAACTGGAGATTATCTCACAAAGTGAAATAAGTCAGACAAAGACAAGTATCATATGATATCATTCATATGTGGAATATTAAAAAAATGGTACAAATGAACTTATTTATGAAACAAAAACAGACTTACAGACTTATAAACCAAACTTAGGAGTTTGGGATCAACAGATACAAATTACTATATGTAAAACAGACAAATGACAAGGATTCACTGTAGAAAACAGGGAACAATATTCAGTATCTTGCAACCTATAATGGAAAAGAACCTGAAAAAGAATAGGCTATGTATATATACAACTGTATCACTATGTTGTATACCTGAAACTAATAAAACAGCTGTATATCTGAAACTAACAAAACATTGTAAATCAACCACATTTCAATTTAAAAAAAAATTGATAAGCTCTAAATACCTTTATTCAAAGAAAATCTTGAACTCTTCCTTCTTACAAAACTTAAAATTGGTAGCTTGAGCAGGACCAAATTATACTGGATGTGCAGTTATATATCTTCTCCAGCACGTGGCCCATGCTACACACATATCGTGTTTTCCTACAGGTAAGAACAGCCCTGAGTGCACAGGGAGCGAGTCCTTCTGGGACAAGGTCTCTGTGGCAGTGGCCTCCTTGTCACTGCTCCATCTCACCAGGAGGCCAGTGTTTTCAGAAGTGAGGGGACATAGAGCTCATTCACTTCAAATTGATTTCCAGAAAATACTATGAAAAAACCAAATTCATCTGCAGTGTGGGAAACATGAGCAGGGCCCCTAAGCAGAATGACAAGCCCAAAGTAAGATGGCCCAATGTTCAGATCAGAACCAGAACAACGACCACCTGGCCCCAGTTAAATGACCACCACCTCACCTGCAATAAACTGCTCGTACTCAATGTCAGGGATGTTTCTGTTGAGGTTTGAGAGGTCAAAGGAGTCGGACCAGGGAATCCAGACCTGGTTGATGTCAGGGCTCTGCCAGTGGTAGAGGTGGCCCCAAGGGGATAGCACCAGTACCGGCTCCTCCATCTTCAGCAGGGTCTTCAGGAGGAAGGCAATGTGGATGCAGACGTTCCTACGGAGGCTGATGCCCTCTGGAGGGTTCAAGTCACACAGAAGGTACCTGACAGGGAGCAAAGGAGAGCAGGTCTTCAGGGCCAGGCCTCTGCACAGGAATCCTGGCTTAGATAGAACAGATACAACGGGAACCCCTGCACAGCCAATGGCCTAGACTCCAGACACATTCAGCAGCTTCTGGATTGTAAAGTGGAGGCACTGCCCACCCATCTCCATGTGGCCAATTACTTCAAGTCCGGGAACAGTTGCGGAAGACATCTTGGTGTGTCTAACACCACTAAGCACCTGACTAGCACCTGAGCACCCTTTCTCCAGGGGCTCTCAAACTTCTTGTTCTACAGAACCCTATACACTCTTAACAATTACTGAGAACTCCAAAAGGCTGTTATTTATGTGAGTTAAATCTATCAATATTTCCTGTGTTAGAAGTTGAATAAGAAGTTAGAAAAAGTGTATGAATTCACTTAAAAATTTTAACAATCTACTGTATGTTACCATTAATACTCTTAAACAAAATATAATTCTATTTTTCAAAACAAAAATCATTAGTGAGAAGAATAGCAGTGATTTTAATTTCTGCAAATCTCTTTTGGACTGGTGAGAGCTGAATTCTCCTATGTGCCTCTGCATTCCCTGTATTGTGATATCACAGGCCAGGGTTTCCCTGGAAAACTCCACAGGAACTAGGGAGAGCAAGAGTGTGCAAAAGGCAGGTGACATCCCGACGTTTCTATGAAAATGGTCTTGCACCTCAGGGGCCTTGGATACACTTTGTTAACTGCTGCCCTATCCTAGGCGGGACTCTTCTACACAAGAGCCAGGCAAGGGTCCTGGATTCTGTAATGAGTTACCGCCGCCACCGCACCCCTCCCTTCTCTGTGTGTTTCTCACAACCTCCATTACTGCAGATGAGGATGTAATCCTCAGCCAGGGCCTCTAATCCCAGAAGACTGCTAACTTCAAGAGAGAGGGTCCCATCTACCATCCCTACACCCCGCATAGTTTATTTTGAGTCAAGCCCTAGATAACTCCTTATCGGCACTGACCCTTGTCTTATTCCTGAGGTTGACTGAAGGAACCAACTTCTGGATGGAACTGAAATTTCCCTGCAGATAAACAAGGCTGATAAACCACCCCATTCCAACATCTGATTCTGGGGCTCTTCAAAACCCGGGTAAGGCCCCGCTTCATCTAAGAGGGGTCCTCCGCCTGCCCTTCCCGGGGGGTTCTGGGAGGCCGCGGCCACCAAGGTAGACCCAGAATCGTGGCCCCAGCCCCAGGGCCTGAGGGGGAGGAAAGCTTGGGGCTGTGCCCAAGCCCTGCCCCGCCCCGCCCCAACACGCTCACCGGCACCACAGCCCTCCCCAGCCACAACCCAAACCGCGATCCCACCCCGGTTCATGTCCACCGGCCCCGCCGACGGCGCGGACGTACGTTTACCATCTGTGGGACCCCGCCCCAGACAGGATGTCAGCCGCCGACAGACCAGGCGAGAAATAGTCGCCCGGCCAAGCAAGCCGCCATCCCCAGCAGAAAGCACCGCATTGTCCCTGGCAGCTACACACTTCCGGAGCCCGCTCCCCGCCCCAGAAGCGCACCCAGGCCCGCGCGGCACGCGGCGCCTGTAACCATGGCAACGCCGCGGGGCCCTCCCCTAGCGCTTGCGTCGTTCGTCCTCCTGAGTCTAGATGTGCGAGGGCAGAACATGCAGAGCCAATGGGAGCCAGGGCGCTGCCAGGACAGGGGTGGGGGAGCTTATGGGACAGATGGGCGGGGCCGCGGCGGGCAGGGCCGCGCGGACGTTCTCACTTGCAGGTGGCGCCGGCCGGAGGCTGGGGCGTTGCTGCCACCAGTGGGCGGGGCAGCGGGGCAGCGGGGCAGCGGTGCGGCGGGGCCGGGGCACCCTCACCTGTCCGTGTGTGGGGATCAGCCTGGGCTCCACGGCCTCCGCTTGCACCGGACGTGGACCCAGGCTAGCTGTGGGCAAGATAGAGGACTGAGCCCAGGCAAGCAGGGCTGGCCAGGTAGGGCACCTGAAATGCAGATCCGCCAGGCCAGCTGCCGGCCTTGAATACGCGCTGCAAGGCAGTTTCCAAGAAGACGGGATCTGTCATAAGAGGGGAGGTAGGGCTGGGGTGCCAGATGCCGGGTTGGGTGCAGTCTCAGAGGAGAGCCATGGTGAGAGGGCGCAGAGCTGCCCCTGTTTTGGCGGGGCTAAGAGTTTGGGGTATAGGTTGGGGGTGGTTTGTGCCTTCCTCTGTGGTCTCCCCAAGAACCTTCACTCCAGAGCAAGGGTCTCTGCTACCCCCACCCCTCACTGCACTCCCTGCCTTCCCCAGCACCACCTGGGGTGTGGTCATGTCGGGGCAGGGAAGGCCCAAGGAAGGGGCTCATTCAGGGGCAGGGGCCACTCTGCAGGGATGCTGGAACTGACAGCGATGCGGTGCTTCGGAACTCCCCTGGGATGGGTTTCTAACCAGTGGGATGGAAGGGCCTCTCCTTCCTGAGGTGCAGTTGGGGGAACTAGATCCATCATGAATGTCAGCCCTGAAAATGGAGGCTGCGCTACATCCATTCCTAGAATGACAAATCAGGCCCCTCCAGCCAAGGTGACTCAGAAAGTCATTCAGCAATGTTCGGGGTCCCCAGTTTAGGCTTTCAATTAGAGCTGAGCAGCTCAGGAGGCCATATCCCTGTCCGTGGCTCCAGGAGTAGGCTTTCTGCTTGGGGACAGGCTCCTCACAAATACCTGTGTCTTTGTGGGTCACTCCCCTCTGACAAGCTGGGAGGCAGGGTGCAGTTGTGGGAAATTGTGTTTCCATGAGGAGAGGGCCACCAAGTGCTGGGGGCACAGGAGAGGGTGAGAAAGAGTCCCGCAGCCTCTCTGGAATCAAAAAACTGGCAAAGGTGAAAAACTGCATAATTTGTTTTATTGAACAGGCTGCTTATGTACGTTTGGAGGGCCAGGTTCAAGGACTCTGCATCCCTCCAGGACAATAGCCTCAAGAGAAGAACAGACAGAGTAGGAGGAGTTGTGGGGTTTCTCCCAGGAATGAGGCAGAACAGGGATTTCTGCAGATTTGCAAGGAGACCCCGACCACTGAGCACGGGGTTACAACCCCACGTGACCCCTGTCGTGTTTGGCTTGGGCTCTGGGTCTGGCCTGATCATGTATTCTTCCAGCTGAGTTCCAGAAACTCAGAGGGTAGACTCAGAGGGGCTGCGCTTGGAACCCGGCATGGAGACGGAGGGTCCTTTATCCTGAGTCCCCTCAGCCTAATCACTGTAGCTGAGTTCCAACACCACCCAGGCCCCCGGGTGGCCGTGGAGGGAGAGCAAGCCTGGCAGGCGACCTAGGGGTCCCACTGCTGTGTTCTTCCCTTGTCTTCGTTCTCTTTCACCTCGGAAGGTGTGATTGTCTTGTGTCATGGTGGCCACCGCAATGTCCCTCCCAGCAATCTCTTTTCTCCATCAGGTGGGGTTCCCACCCCCGCTCAGCCTTCTCTCTGCATGGATGCTGAAGGACCAGGCCCACCTGAAGTTCTGAGCTTGAGCAGTAAGTTGGAAACAAAGAAACCAATGGAAACAAAGAAGCAAGTGATTGTGGCAAAGCTCCCCACCACAGAGAAGCTGCCCTGAGTGGAAGGGAGTGTGTGGGCATGCCCATTTGTTTCCTGTCTCCCAGTGCTCTTCGCTTTCTTATTGCAGACCTGCATGTTTACAACAAAATGATCTGCAAAACTGAAAATATTTACTCTCTGGGTTTTACAGAAAAGGCTGACCAGCCTCTGGTTCCAGTACCGGTCAAGTGTGGAGTACCTTTCCAGTTTGGAAACATCTGGGCAGGCCCAGGTTTGCCAAATCCCTTAAGAGTAGTTCCGGAGTTTGCTTCTAAACATTTTTACGGCTGTATACTTCTGAGCTGAGGTTGTGCTGTGTAATTCTGAGCCAGGATTTTCTCAAACTGTTTCTCATTTCTTATACCGGACACCCCTAAATTCCAAGGGGAATGGGATGTTAAGGAAGCCATGGAGTTTAGGAAAAAGATACAGATTTCATTTCCATTTAAGCTTCGATGTATCTCCATCCTAGGCAGTATCGGTTCTGTGGTATTGATAGGGGAACTAAATAGCAACCAAATTTATAGAAAATAGTGGGTCATTGGGTACACAAGTTCTTCTTTTCAACATTTTTGTAATGTTTGCAGTTTAAGATGACCATTCCTGAGAAACAGGCAGCCTCTTAGAATGAAATAGCATTTTCCCTGAACCATACTCAATTTTTATTTCGTAGACAGCAGGAAGGGCAATCACACATCCAACACTTGGGGACCTCGAAGATAAAATGTAACTTTCTGAGAGTACACTCCCCCAGTCTCCCCTTGCTCTTTTCACTGTCCCATTGTCCCTGAAGGCTCTTTTGTATCTTCTGCTCATGACTCCAGTAACTCTTCCTCCTCGTTCCTCAGCTGGTAAGTTTACTTTTCTACTTTGACCAGGCAAACTGAAGCCAACAGAAGAGAACTTTCACCAGCAACTCCCAGCACATCCGCTCTCCTTCTGATGTCTGTGACCTCACTCTCGCTGCCCCACCTCTTATTAGAGGTGACATCGAAATCCAGATCATCCAAAGGTCGCCAGGGGGGCAATCCATTCAATCTTCTCCGGGCTGTCACTCCCATATCCATCCTCTCTGTCACTACCTCATCTATTTTGTCCTCCTGTGAGTTGGCTCCTATCAGAATATAAACGTCCATCGTCTTAAAAGGAACAAATAGCACTCCTTGACTCTAATTCACCCCCACCAATTGCCACCCCATGTCTTTGCGGCAAATCTTTAATGAGTAGTTTAAACTCACTGTCTGCATATTCCCTTGAGCCATCGCCTTTTGCACCCACTCTGGCTTTTCCCCTGATCCCTTGCTCTATGGAAACTGCTCTGTCAGGGCCATCAGTGACTCCACGTTGCTAAACATAGTGGTCAGTTTTTAGTCTTCATCATGTGTGGCCCTTTGGCAGCATTTGACCCAGCTCTTCCATCCCTCCTCCCCCGTGTTCCTGCTTTACTTGGCCTCCAGCCCATCGCTCTGCTTTCGATCCACTGGCTGGTCTTTTGCCAACGTCTCCTCTTTTATCCATTTACTGCGAATGTGCCCCGAAGTTGGGTCCTGGGTCTCACCACTAACTCTCTGCTATACCTTTGGTGGAAGCAACCAGACTTGGAAATTGACATGCCATCAATTTCTCGATTTGTCCAAAACTCTGATTGGCCCTTTCCATTTGGAACTCTCCCTGATACTCATATTCTTTTTCTTTCATTCATCTTGCTTTCACATTCATACATATGTTCTACTGTGTAAATTACTTTTCCAAATATTGAATCAGTCCATACATATCATGTAAAATGCTCAGATCTCTATTATTTCCATTAAGATGCTTATTCTACCTTAGAACCTTTCTGCATTTCTGTATTTATGTCAATAAAGTGAATAGTATTTCTACAAGCCTCATAGTTAAACAGTGTGTTTGTTTGGGGCTATTATGTAACATGAAATAATGATACATCAACATAGTCCTTTTTCATTTAATTTTATGTAACACCAAGATGAGGTTTTTGCACTGAAGACTGGTTTTATTGAAATTTTACCTACGTTTTGGACAGTCAGTTTATGTGAAAGCCCTCATTTCTCCCCTTTTCTGATGTATTTTCCATTTGGCTATTATAACATACACCTTGGCATGAAATAAAATTACAAATTCATTCACATAATAAAATTAATATATTTAAATTATATTCTTTAATGTTAAAAAGAAATAAAAAATAAACCCAGACTCCTCTACCTATTAGGCATTTCTATGGCAATATCTAATAGACTCCTTAACCATGACATTGAAGAACTGAGCTTATTCCAGCCCCTTCCCACCTGCTTAGCCCCATCTTGTCCCATCCCCTGTGGATGGAGAGGACATCCATCCCATTTTCCAGGTCAAGATGTTGGAACCATGTTCTTTCTCTCTCTTTCTCTTACACACACACACAGCAAATCCAGCTTGTTAGAAAATTCTGACTACTCTGTCTTCATGAACCACCTACTCCCTGTTCCCCACCCTCCTAGAAACCACCTTCAGCCCCTTGGACACCAAATAGCCTCCTTCTTCCATCTTTGCTTTTCTACAATCTCATCCACACAGAGTCAGAGGGAGCCTATAAAAGCATACATTGAGGGGGTGGGTTTAGCTCAGTGATAGAGCGCATGCTTAGCATGCATGAGATCCTGGGTTCAAACCACAGCACCTTCACTAAAATAAATAAATTACCCTCTGCCCCCCAAAAACCAAAACAAAAGCATAAATTGGATATCACACATCCCATCAAAACTCACTAAAAGGGTCAACATTTCATTAGGAGCCAAAGTCGTCCAAATGTCTTCCAGGACTCGGCGTGCTCTGCCTCTCCGCCCACACTCTCCCCATCACTCTGGGCGCCTCTGGCTCCGGCTCTTCCTTCTTCCTCCGGATCTATGCTGCTTCAAGTTCATTACTCCGTGAGATCTGCCAGGATTTCCTTATTCCCTCCTGCCTGCCTCGCACCCTACCGCCATCACCTGAGTTTGCTCATATCACTCTTATTTATCCCCAAGCTCTTGCTACCCCCAACATGCTGCCTGTTTCCTCTGCTAAAACTCTGAGCCCCCTGTGATGGGGAGTCGTGTCTATTTTGTTGACTAATAAAGCCCAAGGGCCTTGGGAATGGGTATAGTTACTAGATTCCCATATGTAGTAGGAGCTTATACAGATTTGCTGAATGAATGCAGAGGTCCTTGTCCAATCCGATGGAGCACTTCTGTGTCCTGCTCAAAGAATAACTCTCCTTTCCTCCTGAGAGGGGGTGACCACTTCCTTGGTGATCAAAGGCAAGATCTATTATCTTTATGCTGTTAACCTTAGGCGGGGAGACTGGGGATCTTCATTTATATTTTAAAATTTGATTCACTCTGCAATTTGTCTTCTGTCTAAGTATCCTTTTGAGAAACCGTTTATGAGTGATCATTCTTCCATCAGATTGAACAGGATCCAGGGGGAAGTACCAACACTGTCCCATCGGCCATCCTGTGTGTCATGTCCTGTGACCCAGTGAATACTCAGCACGTAAGTGAACCGACAGGAGTGAG